GATCATGACCTGAGCCGAAGGCAGACGCTTAACGACTGAGCCACCCAGGCATCCCAATAAATAAAAATAATTTAAAAAAATAAATAAAATTTTTAAAAAAGCACTATTCAACAGAATCAACACACCTTTAGTACAACCACCTCCAGGATTCCCTCATCTTTGATGAGAACCCTAAGTGTGATGGGTTCTGGCACTAGACACCCAACAGGTTGTAAAGAGAAAGGAGGCAAGGAAACACCAGCACCCTCGGGTGAGCACCCTGACGTGACCCAACAACCTGCACTGGGAGGTAGGAGCAAGAGAAGGCAAAAGAGAAAGGTACCTCCGGAATTGCATCTTCGAGCAATCTCCCAGTATACAAGCCCGAGGGCATAGATATCAGCACATTTGAAGGAGTCGAAGTGCTTCATGTTAATGGTTTCATCGAGCACTTCGGGGGCCATGTATCTGCAATAGCAAAGGAAACAAGATCATGCCAAGAAAAGGATGATTTCTTTGTTTAAATCCAAGTAGTGATTCAGGGGCCCTCTGAATGTGGAAAGGCATCACCCTAAGAATGCCCCTTGAGGAGAAGGAAGTGATCAGTTCTCTTTATTGCAAACTCCCATGTTTTGGATTCGAATCTAAACACTTCAGCAGAGGCTGGGTGATACTAGGCTGCTCTTATTTGTACTTCTATTTTTTTAACCATCAAGATGTATTTTAAGCATGTTTTGATTTCTTGGCAGAAGTATCTGTACTGTGGAGCACAGGGCAATCCATAATATCTGGTTGCTGCTGGGGTCTTAGACTTTATTAAATGTAGCCACAGTGATGGGCTGAATTTATATTTCACTCTGAACTTATGTTATCTCACCTAATTACAAATAAAAATGAAAATGAATTCTAGGTGATCATCAAGGTCTCCCTCAGTTAGTTAGTACTACTCGAGCCACTCCCCACACCCCCCAACCCCCCCACAGGGGCGCTGCACTCATTCAGGTCAGAAGGAAGGGGGAAAGGAGCAGCACACTTGAGTGAAATTTGGCAGATAAATAGACCTCCTCTTCTGTCCCATTACAAGACATTTCCATTTCCAACTCATGAAGTCAATCTACAATCATAATTCCTTACTTCTTACTTCACTTCTGTATGAAGCGGGAAGCAGGCCCATAATCCTGAATGTGCCCCCAATCTCCACCCTCGATCACCTCCGCTCGAGCTTGGCAAACCTGCTCTCTGACACACTCCCCGCCTCCGAACAAGTACCTGTGGGGACTGCACATTCTTCCTCTTTGTCCCAGCCAAGCCTGCAGCCTGGCCCCCTTCCGAATCTTTCTCCAGATTCTCTTTCTCTGCTGCCTCCCCCTGCCCAATACCAAGAAGATCTACGTGTCTGTAGTTCTCTAGAGCCATGCTCACAGCACCCGTATCTGTTAGACGCAACCAGCTCAGCTCTCCAGTGTGTGGAATGGGGCTTCAATTCAGCTTTCGGCTGTCGGAGAGCAAGGGCCACACGTCCTCCTCTATGCCTCTTTCTCCTTTAGAGACGGGAAAGGGCGCCCATGCGCTCCTCAGTACAAGGGTAGGGCAAAGGCAGAGGCCCAGGGCCTTCCTACCGCTTGGTCCCCACCCTCTGATTTGGGGCGATGTCGATGGTGTCCGTGACCGCATCATGGCGGACAGCCAGGCCCAGGTCTGCAATGGCGCACATGCCATTTTTCTTCACCAGGATGTTCTTTGATTTTAAGTCTCGATGAGCAATTCCAGGCTTCCCTGGCAGAGAAAAAAATAAGGATCTTTACAGAGAGATAGCATAAATGTTAGAAGCATAGACTCTGCAGCCAGACTGCGTGGGTCCAAGTTCTGGCTTTGCCTCCCACTAACCCGGTAACCCTAAAAAAGCGACTTAACCCGTCTGCACCTCTGTCTTCTCATCCGTAAGATGAGGCTACCCCAGTCCTTACTTGATGGCAATGTGAGGATTAAACGCATTAATGTAGGTAAGTGAAGAGCTTAGAAGGGCATGCGTATTAGTGATTCTCACTCCTCCTCCTCCTTGCCTTTCCCTGAACTGATATGCTCCAGGACAGAACTGCTAAGGAATTCCAAGAAAAACTGCTATACTGGCGAGGTTTTTACGGTCAAAGAGGCGAAGATAAGGCCCGCTACTATCACACAGGGGTTAGGAACAGGATCAAACGTTAATGGCTTTCCCTCAAGGCCAGCAAGAGCCGTGGCCCTGGTCAACCAGAAATCAGGGAGCACAGCACACCTGCCGCCCGGACGAGAACCGTGATCCCCCAAAGAGCTGATGTCACAGTCAACATACAAAGAAGCCTCGGGTCTGTTTCCTCCAGGAGAACCTTCCTGGGTTTGTAAAGCCCAGTGTCTAGTCCAGCACGCAGTCCGTAAGCCACCTGTCGCCAACAGCAAACGTGTGACGTGACATTAGCAAACTGTGCTCCTTTTCTCTTCTGGGCGCCATTCTTTTACGTGTGTGTGGTGGACTTCTGGGAGGACAGAACACTGGCTTACCACCCAACTATCGTGCTGGGCCAACGGAGGACAAACACTGGAATCTTTATGTTCCAGAGCCCCTGAAGGAATTCTAAAGACGGAGGTCGAAAGACCCCCCTGGAGACACCTTCGGTTCTCCAGAAAAACGCAAACCTCTCTCCCTTAGATTAGGCCACAGTTCCTGAGGCCTACCTCCAACCTCCTCAGTAAAAGGGAGTTCTGGGAACTAAATGAGGATGGTACCGGCTTTCAAAGGCTACGCAACTTGCCTGCCCCTCAGTGGGGTCCACTCACCTTGGGTACCTACAATCTCCATGTGCAGGTGTGCTAGCCCGCTAGCCGCAGACAAGGCCAGCTTAATCATCCCCTCGATCGTCACCGTGTATCGGTTAAGATAATCAAACAGGGAGCCATGCTCATGGTAGTCTGAGACGAGCCACAGCTGTGTCCAGGTGCCATTATCTGCAGAGAACCACAGAGGAGTTCTGGAAGAGGCACAACTACCAGCAAAAAGGTTAAGGCGGTAAAGAATATGTGAACAACACGAACTCCAGCTAGACTCTTGAATTCACGCTTCTTGCCTCCATACCTCCTGAGGCTCCCCCTCTATACCTGTTTCATCTACACTTGGTCACCAGTGTGGGGGTCCAAGAAGGACAGAAGAACAACATTCTTCCTTAGGTGGCTGTCGGAGTCTGAACAAGACCTACTCATCTACTCATGAGACCAAGACTGACTGCACCCACTGCTGCCAAGGAGGAACGCTTCGCAGACCCTCCTCTGTGCTCCAAGATCCTGTGAGCGCAGCCTAGCCCCAGCAGCTGGCTCATCCGTAATGTTTCCTTTCAGTCCACGGCTCCTACCAGGCCATGAGCTCGCTCTCTGGGAGCAGAGCAAAGAGCTCCTTCGTGCGTTCCCGTATCCCAGACCAAAAAAAGGCTTTTCAGTGCACGAAGAGCACAATTCCAAGTATTCCAGAGAGGTCATCTTATCCTCGGAAGAGCAATGGATGCTGGACAGCACGCACTTTTATACGGGGTGGGGGATGAGAGGCAGTGTGTAGTAGGAAGGAGGAAGGAAAAAAAGAAAGACCCAAAGCTGGTAATCTAATTAGGTTATGCTGCTGTCAATAGGAAGACTGGAAATTGGATTGAGATCTCCAAATTCCAGGCCGGTGTTAGTTCCGGGACACTATACTATATATATATATATATATATATCATGCTAAAAAGGCAAAAACGAAGGAGTCCGATTTTTCTCCTCCCTTGGCCCTAATGTGAATTTTTACAGCCAGATCCCTGTTCCACACGAGCTGCCAGAATCAATAAAGGGAGTGGCTCTTGGAACGGCACCAATTTTGGCTTCCCTGATTCCGAACAAGGGGCCCACCCAGCATAGCACTCTTGCGCTCCAACCAGCCCTGAAGTCATGAGGATGCTGGCAGTAAGTCCAAGTTAAAAGGGAAGACATCTTCTGAGCCTTTAAGCTGTACGTAAAATGGAAGTGTTCTCAAAAGATGCTGTTTTAAAAAAAGCACAATTTACTCAAAGGGAGTAAACATTCTCTCTTCCCCTTCCTCCCTTGTGTTTGAGCCCGAGCCTCTTCAGCTTGGGGGCAGTTGAGGCCACGACAAAGCCCCACAGTAATATGAGGAATCGGCAGTCTGCTGCTGTCTTAGGAAGGAAAAATAAACACTTAGCATCTTCCATAGGCTTCAGAGACATGAACTTCTAGAAACTGCCATGTCCCGGGAGCAGCCTCTGTCCCAGCTGCCAGGGCGACTCTTCTCCAGTGCGCACGCGAAGGCCGCATGGGCTTTCCGGCTCCAGACTCTCTGCTACCTGCCCACGTACCTGATGCCTCTGCTTTCCAGGAGCTGCGAGGGCAAGGACCGCGGGGGGACCCCGTGTGACCATCGGCACAGCGGGCAGAGGTCCTGCCCTGCAGTGGTCAACGGATGTGAGTGCATGAATGAGTGCAACTCCAAGCACCACCCATTACCTCAGAATAAAAGGTAATGCTCTCGAGGAGGCCCTCTGTGGCCTGGCATCGGCCGCCTCTCCCCTCACGGAGCCGTGCCTGTGAGCTGCAGGGTCCCAGGCACCCCTCACCTCTACGTGTGTGTCTGCAGTGCCCTTCCCACTGAGTCGTCTTCTTCACCGACTCCTGACACCCCGGCCTCAATCAAGCTCAAGTGTGACCTCCCCGACCCCCACCTCACCCCCAATTTGTGCAAACTAGAAGAGCTTACAGTTTGATTACTTCCTGGAATTAACTATTTCTTTACTTCTCGCTTTGCTGCTCAGTGAAGCCCTCGAAAACAAGGACGTGCCTGGCCACACAACAGAGACTCAGAAACTAAAGAAAAATCAGAAGGGAGAAGAAGGAGGAACCAAGGGACCTCAGGTCCAAGCAGACCAAAAGCTGAGCCTGAAAGATCACGAGGAGGTAACACCTGGGGGCAGCCAGGTCAGCCCCGCTGGGCCTGCTCCGCTACCCGTGTGTATGATGCGGATTATATCACAGACGTGAGCCACATGCTTCTCTGGGCTCCCTGCCCTGGCAGGGGCTGAGGCCACGATTCCTCATCCCAGTGATGTGCAAGGTAAACTAAATGAAGCCCGGGCGGGGACTGCACTAGGGGTGACGGGAAGGGGTGTTACGAATGGGAAGTGAGCAGGTAGGATGAGGGGTTTATCTTGTTTATCTGCTTAATAACTGTTTGCTTGCTTAATGGCCTGGGTTTCGGTATAAGCTTTTCATAGAAGAGAAGTTGGAGAGACTATCAGCTTATTCAGATTCTCCTTCTATGGGTAATAACTATGAAGGCGGTCCCAGAGCTGTTCAACTTCCCCAGTCACCCCGTCCATCTGGGGCTACTGTTGGCTTTGGGAGCCCCTATATCCAAACCCAGCTCGTTACCTTTATTGTCAGCAGCAATAAATCCAAGGATGTTCTCGTGGCGCAGCATGACCGTCTGGTAGATCTCTGCTTCCCGGAACCAAGACCGTTCTTCACGAGAAGAGAAAATCTTCACAGCCACGTCCCCACCCCTCCAGCGGCCACGCCACACTTCCCCAAACCGGCCCTTGCCAATAATCTCCTGCAAAACGATGGTTCGGGCCACTGTGCGCTGGACAAAAAGGGGCAACCCTGTGGACCGAAGAATGGAAAGAAAGCGGACATTGTAAATTTGCTGAACTTTGCAACACCCACTCTCACTGCCACACTGGAAAGGCCATTACCACACAGTGCCTCCAAGCCACCCCGGTCCCCTGACCAAGGAGAGCTGTGGCTGCCCCTGCACACGGCTAGGTGAGCCGGCAGAGGGCTAAGCCCGGCAGTGACTGGCAGTGAGCAAACACAGAAAGGGAAACGCATGAGATTAGCTGTGCCTCATCTAAGCAATTCTTCCTTTCAGTTAGTACGGGTGACAGATTCGCACACAACGTCTGACCAGATTCACCAACTCTGCAGCCGGCCTCTCGTGGGCCAGTCCACCCACAACTGCTTTATGCCGACTGAAGAGGAAAGAGGGCAGAGAAGGTGAAAGACGGGGCTTGAGGACTGGGGGTGCTCTGCTCCACGGCCACTAGAGGGCGGTGCTGCATGGCCCATGAAAGCCAAACTGTGGTTGGGCACACAAGGTTCCCACTGCTCTCCAAAGCTCGGCTCAGGTCAAGCTCCTGATACGCAAGGAGAGACTTCCCACGCTTATCCTAAGAGTAACTTCACTGTCTTCACAGGGCTCATTTACTGCTTCATTTGCCCCCTTCAGCAGTCCCCCTATCTATCCAATCACACTTACCATCAGACTGACTCGGAGCTCTCTCACTTCCTCTCCCAGACCAAATAAACATGTTATTAATCCCTAAGTCCTGTGGATGTGAATCCCATTTACTGGAGGCTTACTATGCACTAGAAACTATGATAAAGCTTTAAATGATCTCATTTCCTCACAACCACCTATAAGGTAGATGGTGTCATTATCCCCATTTTACAGACAAGAAAACTAAGGCTCAAAATGGAAAGTTAAGTAACTCATTTGAACTCCTATAGGCAGCAAGTGGCAAAGAAGGGATTAAAGTCTAGAACTGTCTGACTCCCAAAGTTTATGCTCTTAACTACAACACTACAGAACCACCAAAATGTCTCTCACATCGGACCCCTCCTCTCCATCCCCCCTGTGCCCATCCAGGTTCTGGACCGTCTTTAAAAGACTCCCAACTGGTCTTTCCACCTCCCTCGTCGCCCTGTTCCTGCCCTGCACACCCACACACAGCCCTGCCTCACCCTGCCCTCGCTAACAGGAGGTTGGTGAATGAGTGAATTCAACCTCCACACCACTGCCAGAATGCCTTCCACGGGAAAATATGAACGTTTACTTTGCCACATGAAAACTTCCGGTAGATGCCTCTCACCTTACTGGATAAAGCACAGCGCCCAAGGGCCTGCCCACCTGAGCTGTGCTGCCAGTCCCCACCCCCCAGTGTGGGCAGGGCATGCCAGCCTCTATATCGTCCCCTAAACACATGGTGAACTTTCGTGCCTTTTTGTGCTTTTGCTCAAGGGGTTCTCCTTGGCCTGGAATGTTCCCTGTCCTCTTACCTCTCTTAAAACCTCCAACTCCGTCTTCAAGACCCCTTTAAATGCATCCTCCCCCATGAGACCCTTTCCCAGCAATCCCCATTTTTTCTATCCAATCCTGGGTCAGCCGTTTTCATCTTTGTTTAGCTTGTGTCACCCACAGGGTATTCAACACGTACTTGTTGAAGGGACTTGAAAGTCACATAAGCACTTATCACTTTAAAAACCACAGTATTAAAACTCCAACACCTTCAAAGCTCTGCATATTTGGAACTAAGAAGGGACTAGAACCTCCAAGGAGAAACAGTTATTAGTCATTTTACTCCAGATGACTAAGTAACCACCACGGACCTTCGCTAGCCTCAGCTAGTTCTGATCTTAAAAAGGACTCCAGAAGACCTGAGCTACCCTCCTGTGACAGCAAATCAAGTCGCAGAGTCAGCCAGGCAGTTCTAACCACTGCCCTACCTCTTTCAGCAAAGAACAAGACATATATTTTCTCTCTTCCTAAAAATATGCAGCTTTTAAATATATCCATCATTTTGGCACTCTCTACTGCAGAGCTTTAATAAAGGCAAAACCACTGAAATTCAGGAGATGTCACAGCTCAAAGTATTCCTTGTGTTCAAGGAGGAATGTCTGGCCATGACTGATGGCATAATTTCCCTACAGAACAATAGTCTTTGTCACACGGCAAGGAAACATACATAAACACACACAGAATTCTCACAATATGATTCTGTATGTTTTAGCTAGAACAGCAATAGAGACCTTTGCAGATTATTATTTTTTTTTTTACAAGGACAGAATACCCCCATCACTAAAATAATTGCTTATCTTCATAAAAAGACTCTTTCGCAGTCGTTTCACATCTAATAGCTAGCTGAGCTATGCCCTGAGACCTGAGCAGCCCCAGTCCCTTTATCCTGAATTCCGGGCTCACACGAAGGTCCAGGGTTCGGTTCAATTCCCTCGTCTAGGAGAGAGTCGGTCCACAGGCAGTGCAGGAAGCGAATGGTACCGATCCTATGCCACAAGCCCAGGCTGCCTTTATGTAACCTGCACCAGAAAACCCTTGGGCAACTGGTACAAGTCAATGATTCACTAAACCCCAGCTCTCAGCTTTCCTCAGTGTCCTTAAACTCCCCTTGTGGTTGCTCGGAGATCAATGATTAGCTGTCACCACCTCACAGAAACCCGGCACACTCCTGTTTCTCCAAAGGGGCCCTTCCATTGAGCACTCCGCTGCTCAGGTGGAACCAGGTGAATTTTAACACATGTATAGTTGCAAGACTTGGAGAGGCAGGGTTTCTGGAATGGAGAGTTTTGTACTTGGCCTTTGGAATCCCAGGGAATGAAAGATTTTCTGTGGACCCATTATCTTATTACATATCAGACTCCAAAAGAAGGGGAATTAGGAAGCCAAACACCTCAATGCAGGCAGAAACAAGTGCAAGGCCCAGCCTTCTTCACAAACGTTCTATCCTGCTGGGAACTGGTGACGAAGACCAACAACAGACACAATCGCTAAAGGACTCAGTACCTGAGCCAGACCCCGATGTGGAGAGATCGTAGACAAGATCCTGGAGCGTCTTGTCTTTGGAGAGACACATCTCACATGAGGGATCTTCCATGTCCAGTCTCTGGCGGTTGTGATAGACACGCTGATGATAGTTAATGACAAGGAAAACAATGATGATGATGAGAAACAGGAGGAACACTGGGCCAGCAATAATGCCTACCAGCTCCACGGGGCCCCACATGGAAGGGTGCTCAGACTCCTTGAGGTGACCTGGGTCAAGTGAGAGAGGAGAGGGAAAGAACACAGTAAAAACACGGGAAAGCTCTGGCCTTATCTGTCCCCAATACCTCCCTCCATGTGAAAATGCCCTTTCCCTCTGCTTGTGTTCAAGGTGCCCTTGACCTCCCTGGTCTTACCAGGCTGTGTGTCTGCCCGGTGCTCTTAGATGCAAACCTCTCCAATGGAGGAGCCCTTTTCGACAGTCCAACTCACAAGCCACTTTGTCATCCGCAGCATTTCATGGGACTATCCCACCTCAGTGCCCCAGGCCAACTTCTCCTCTTCCACTCGTAACAGCTGCTTTAAGCCCTGCAGCTTTAAGTCCCTCCTCTTTTGCTCTCCCCAGTGATGCCTTCTAAATGGTACGCTTGCAAAAGGGATGCCAGCTAATCCTTCTCAGCCTTGATTGCTGTCCTTCTTTTTCGACTCTGGTCTCTCGTCCTGCCTTGCCATCACCCTCACCCAGCAGCTGCCTTCACACAGCTCAGCGGTTGTCTCCATACCTTGCGGGGGGCGGGGGATCCCTGCCTGGCTCTCCCACTCCTTACCAGCTGCCCATGGCTGCTCAGCCAGTGGCCAGAACTCAGTTTTCAACCCTGGGACTACCTTGACCATCTGTCTCCTCCGACCTCTCATCTACAAACCTGAGTGGGGAGGAATCCCATCCCCTTGTCACCTTGGGGAACATCAAAAAGGTACTTCTACATATCACCAAACAAAGGGATTGGGCAGGAGTAGAGAAGGATGAGATGACGGGGGTGCCCTACCTCCAGGATGAGCCAATAGTCCAACAAGGGTGTCCACTCACCACTGGGCACCCTCAGGTCGATCTTGTTGCAGAAGTCGGTATAGCAGCAGTGGGTGTTGCGGAGATCCTCGGAGCTCAGACAGTAGAAGGGCTTCCCAGCGGGGACCAGCTCCACTTTGGGGATGCAGGTGCGCACGTGGTGCTCCATCCCATCCAGGTTGAAAATGGAAACCATGCAGGCCCCATCTGTCTCACACGTGTAGTTGGCCTGGAGGCAGCTGGTACACGCACACTGCAGAGCTGCGGGAAATTTGGGAGTACACTGACATTAATGGTGAGATCTTCTCCCAGGTCCTTTTCCAGACTTAGAATATAAGCCTTTGGCACACTTGATGTTCCCAAATCAGGAGCTTTTATAGAGATAGCGCCAGAAAGATGACACCGTCAATGGGAGCACCAGCTTTTCACCTGTTTATTCAGCTCGGAAACCAGGCTTCCAAGCTCCACCATTTTCTTCTAAGTGGCCCTATCTAATGCCCATGAGAAACAGAGAAACCACCTTTCGAACTCTGCCTTAGACTCATTACACATTATTTTGTGGCTGGGAATGAAGTTTTCCTTGAAATGTCGAGGAAGACACCTGGCCCTTGGAGGATACAGGACACCACCCCTGCCCCACCCCTACATCCTCCCTCCAAAACCGCCCAGGCTTCCTCACTTGATGATGGCTCCTCAACCCCATCTCCTTTCTCGGGCACTAGGCATGCCACAGTTTGCTGAATGCAGTATGCATGCTCTCACACATTCTTTTGCTGCAATGCTTTTTTTCCTAAAAGGCTACTTCTCCCAAATCCTTTAAAATTCAGCCTGACCATCACTTCCTTTGAAAAGCTTCCTGCCCATAGTCCAACATCCTCCTCCACCCTTTAGTCCATGGCAGGTGCACCTCTCATGAGGGGCAAAAAGAATAACCTCCAACGAGGATAACATTAATGTTTACATCATAAAGTTACTGTGAGGATCAAATGAGCTGATGCATAAAAAGTGCTCAATAAATTTAATCTACTCTGGAAGGTCCCTGGATATCACTTTGAAAATATTATATATGCATATATAATATATACGCATATAAAAATATATAAATATAAATATGTTTTATACATATATACACACACATGCACGCTTTTTTTTCCCCCCCAAATAGGCAGTGTGTGCAATCATGTCTGGGACTAATGAGTTCTGCTGGGTGTGTATTATACATAAGTGTGCACTGTTGACAGGAAATTACTGTAAATGAATTTGGTGCCTCTGAAAGCCAGTTCAGCAGCCCTGGAATCTGAAATCCTTTATTTATCCATCTAACAAGAATAGCACAGACAGCAGCAGTCGGTTCTCCCCAACACTGTCTCCCATGAGCCTAACCCAGCCCTGACCTCTCGGAACGGGCAGGAGTACGGCTGTGGCCACTAGGACACTTAGGTTGGGACTCGCTGCTGAATGAAGCATTTGCCCATCGGGGAATGGAGGGGGCAGCCCACCCAAATCCCACACTGGCCACTCAGTGAATACTATCTGGATACCAAGTGGGAATACATTCAAACCAAGGCCCCCAGAGAAGAGACGTTTATGACCAATCCCATGAAAAACTAGCCTGTTGTAACTCACCCCTTCAGGCTGTAAACAGTCTATCTTTGTCTCTTCCTGCAATACCCTGGAAGGCATCTCTCGGCTTTTCAGTTCCAAAGGCAGATTCTAAATATCTCCGGTGCCCAAGCCCCCTTCCTCAGGCGTTCTACAAATAACGCACTCTGTCGCCATTCCCACCCACGGAAACAAAGGAGAGCGCACATGGACAGGTAATCGCCGCTGTGGAGCTTCACCGTAAGGCCTTTGATCAGAGAGAGCCCTTTCTTCTGGGAGAAATTCCAAAACACGCAGCTACCTGCTGAAGGGTGATGGTAGTGTTCTATTTTAAGGGCAGGAAGTTTAAAGCAGGTACCCTTTAGACTAGAATCCAAATCATAAAAGCAATTTTAAAAATCAGTTCTTCCTAAACTTCGATTCCAGCCCTTTTTAGACACAAAGGCGAAGAAACCTCCTCATTTTCCCCCAAATACCTCTTTTTGCTCCCTCTTTTATTCTTCTTGCTAACTCAAATTTACTTCTGCAACTCTCTGAATACTCGAGCCAAACCTCTTACGCTGCAGTCCTGACCGGTAATCCAAGGAAGCTAATGCCACCCCCCCTTTGTGTCAGGGAGGACATTCAGGCACCAAGGGGTTCCCCGTGGAGCGCACACCTCTCAATACACGTGCCATGACATCCAGCAAAGAGAACAGCATTGGGGCTATTTTGGGAAGCAAGAAGGGAAAACGAGCAACTCTAAGAGGGCTATTCTGAGCACAGTGGGACACACAGGCCAGACCCGCAGCCGCCTTTTGAAAAAAAAAAAAAAGCTCACTTCAGAGTCTGTCAATTAGCAGACAGGAGAGCCAAGAGCCTCTGATTCCAGATAGTTCTTCTCCCTTCGGTGGTTCATGGCCTCTTTCACAGTGATTCATTCTGGAGAACGAACACACCCACACGTGGCTCATTCTTTTTGGGAAGTACTTCAACAATCTTGGTGTAAGACAGGAAAGAACAAAAGTGGTGAAATCTATGTGAGACGGGATGAAGAACGGAACTGGGAGCAGGGCTGTGCGTGTTTGTGATAAGGGGTTAGGCAAGTCCCTGAATCCATCTGGGCCTCAGCCGCCTAACCAGAAAATACCATTTATCTTACAGAGATGGTAGGAAGATTAGCCACACATCCGCTAAGCGCTGTGAGTATTCAGACAAGGACTTGCTCTGCACACATCTGTGTACATCTATACAGTTTACAGAGTGAGGAAGAAGTCTGAAAAAGATACATTTTTAAGATAATCATCACTACTGCCCACACCCCTGAAAAGGCTTCAGTTACTTATCGCTAGAGCCACAGCAGGGTTATGATGATAGGAACAGATCAGAAAGACCCAAGGCTCAAATAGCAGCTCTAACACCAATCACATGACCTTGCGCAAGTTAGTAACCTCCCTGCACCCTGGTTTCCTAATCTGTAAAGTGGAACTGTTAATAATCACTTTACAGGACTATGTAAGAACTATATGAAATAATACATTTTAAAAGTGCGCGGCAAATAGGTGCTCAATAAACTTTAATCTCTCCTCTAAATGTAAGACTCAAACAGACACACACACAGGCATGCACACGTAAAACGTCTCTTTAACCACTAATTAGGAAGTGGCAAGTTACAGTAAGACCACAGCAAGCACAGCAAGAAACTACTATTCTAGTCTCAGCTCTGCCAGTAACTAGCCGTGTGGCATTGGGCAAGTCACTTAACCTCTCTGAACCTCATTTTCCTCATGATTCATCAGAGAGAAGGCAATGAACTAGATGACCTCTAAAATCCTCCAGCTGAAATTTGAATCCAGTTTGTTTTTAAATTCACATTGTTTGGATCACTGATCCAACGCTGGGAAGTGCTTTAAATTTTATATATTTTTTCCTGAACTTTAAAGACAGACATTAGGGCTAGTCTTCTGTTAATATTCATTTCTCAAAATAAGTAATAAAATTATAAAAACATCTGAATTTACTGTAAATGTACTAGGTACACTAAATCATAAACCTAATCGCGATTTCTTTGAAAAGCTAAATCTGGACTAATGAATGCTAATAGCCCTTTATAATCTACTTCATAGTGACTCATCAGGTTAAATCAGTCTACACACACGCATATAAACAATACATACCTAAAACTCTCTGTATTCCACAACCAAGGAGTTATGTAGTAGAAATGACACAATTTGGAAAACCAATCACAGAGGAATAACAAAACCACTTGAGACACAACCAAGTTAAAAAGTGGTCAGAACCAGGGGGCACCTGGGTGGCTTAGTCAGTTAAGTGTCTGACTCTTGATTTCGGCTCAGGTCAAGATCTAGGGGTTGTAGGATCGAGTGGCACGTCAGGCTCCGTGCTGGGGGCGTGGAGCCTACTTAGGATTCTCTCTCTCCCTCTCCCTCAGCCCCTCCCCCTCCCCCCAAAAGTGGTCAGAATGAAATTCTCACTAGCACAGCATTTTGTTATTGAAAGTCAGTCAAACCGGAACTAAAGACAAAACCACCTGTGCAGGATTTGAGTGTGGCTCCAAAATAGGATTAGAAGGTGGTATGCGGTAGGATGTAGATGCAAATTTGATTCACGAGAGAGGCTGTGTTTTGAGGAAGACCAACAAGTCCCAACTTGGGCAGCCTCTGTCTAGCTGCATCTTACGGCGGCACTAACAGAGCTGGGTCTCAGCAAAGACAACCCCACTGTAGGCAGGGCACTGGGGCTGGGTCCTCTCTCTCTCTGACCCACTGGGAGGACACTCAGCAAGGGTGTGGCGCATGGGAATGCCCAAGAGCCACCGTACAGGCATAGACTCATGGCCACTCAGCACACTATTCTGCCCCAGAGCACATCTCCAGGGGACAGGGTGTGGGAGAGCACAGGGTGGTGGCACTAACCTCAAAAGTTAAGAAGCAAGTGCAAAACATCCACATTTGTCCTGGTAGATGAAGATCCACAAATGTTCTAAAGCATTTTAAAGCTCCAGTATTTATGACTTTTAGCTTAATTAATCGCTCCTCGAGGATAATAAGCTTCACCGATTTTGTACCAGAATGGGGCACTGTCCTGTTCAGGTATACTAAACTTGCCTCTTCCAAACCTCACTGGGCAACCTTCTAACTTTATAGTATCCATGATGAGGTGCCCAAACCAGCTCGCGTAGCCCTTCCTCTTCAAGACTTTACGATTTGATCATAAACTGCCTCTCAGCCCTCTTCCTTCCAGATGACAGCATCCATCAGACAAGCCCAACTGATAAGAATAGCCTATTACAACTCATGATTATTTTAATTAGTCTTCCTTGGACCTTATCCAAACGCCCTACAGCTTCCTTAGGATAGAACAAACACTTCAACTCTGAGTCTGAAGAGCCAAAATGATCTTGAGGGGGAAAAAAAAGAACAAAGTTGGACGACTCACCCTTCCTGATTTCAAAACTTACTACAAAGCTACAGCAATCAAAACAGTGTGGTACTAGCATTAAACATAGACACATAAATCAATGGAATAGAACTGAGAGTCCAGAAACCAACCTCTACATTTATGATTGACTGATTTTTGACAAGAATTTCTAGACCGTTCAGGGGGAAGGACTAGTTTTCAACAAATGTTGCTGGACAACTGGATCTCCACATGCAAAAGAATGAAGTTGACCCTTACTTCACACCATATATAAAAATTAACCCAAAATGGATCAATAACCTAAATATACAAGCTATAACTTATATTCTAAAACTTCAAAAAAGAAAACAGGGGTAAAGCTTTATGGCTTTGGATTTAGCAATGCTATCTTAGATAGCATACCAAAAGCACAAGTGACAAAAGAAAAATAGATAAACTGGCCTTCATCAAAATTAAAACCTGTGCATCAATGGACAGTATACAAAGACAACCTACAGAATGGGAGAAAATATTTGCAAGTCATATATCTAATAATGGCCTAGTATTCAAAATACATAAAGAACTCATAACTCAACAACACAAAACAATTAAAAAATGGGCAAAGGACTTGTATAGACATTTCTCCAAAAAAGATACACAAATGGCCAAAAAGCACATGAAAAGATGTCCAACATCATCTCAAATGCAAATGAATTTTAAATGCAGATGCAAATCAAAACCACGAGACACCACTTCACACCCAGTAGGGAAGGCCATAAGAAAATGAAAAAGAAAAATACCCAGTGATAGTGAAGACTCGGAGAAACAGGAACCCTCATACATTGCCAGCAGGACCATAAAATGGTGCAGCTGCTGCGAAAAACAGTTGATGGTTCCTCCATAAATTAAATGTTGAATTACCATACAACCGAAAAATTCCACTTGTAGGTATACATCCAAAATACTGAAAACAAGTGTTCAAACAAAAACTTGTACACGGAAGTTCATAATAGCATTATGTATATAGTCAAAAGGTGGAAACAACCCAAATGTCTATCAAATAATGAGTGGAAAAACAAAATGTGGTATATTCATACAATGGAGTATTCAGCCATAAAAATGAATAAACTACTGATATACACTACAATATGAATGAACTTTGAAAACACTATGTTAAGTGAAAGCAGCCATATACTATATGATTCCATTTATATTAAATATCCAGAAAGCACATAAGTGGTTGTCAGGGGCTGGGGAGTGGAGTGGGAAGGAGGATGGGAAGTTACTGCTTAATGGGTTACTAGGTTTCCTCTGGGGTAAAGAAAAAGTTCTAGAACCAGATAGTGGTGATAACGTTATGAAGGTACTTACCACCACTGAATTGTACATTTTAAAATGGTTAAAAATGGTAAATTCTTTGTTATCTGTGTTTTACCACAATTTTAAAAAATATCACATCTTTGAAAAACAATATGTATAATATAATCTCAATTATGAAACAAAAACATTTAAACACCTCACACATGCATGGAAAAAACAACTCAGGGCACCTGGCTCAGGTGGTAGTGCGTGCAACTCTTGATCTCAGGGTCATGAGTCTGAGCCCCACGTTGGGTGCAGAGATCACTTATTTATATACAGACATACATACATAAATAACAAGGAAAAAAACCCTTGGAAGTCTAGTGTTCAGACTGTATTCTTCCTGAATCCCTGTGCTCAAAAGCTCCACCAGGGGGGAGCCACTGCCCTGCGTTGCTTCACCATTTTCTCAGTGGTGTCTAGTGCCTAGCAAATAGTACTGTGTTTAATAAATCTCAGCCTAATAACTTGAGAGGGAAGGGGGCTCTACCAGAGCGGATTTTATCTGCTGTACATACGTTTCTACATTTGTACATTTAAAGGGTTGCACTGCTTTAAAAAGACAAAGAAAAAAGAAAAATATTGTTCAGTAACTACTAATCTAGACAACTGCCAAAATGTTTAGGAAAATCCTGAATCAGGTTAAAAAATGGAGGCGTCTGGCACTAAAGTGTCACAAAACAAAGGTAATGTTTGGTTCCCCAAAGGGGTGAGGGGGGACAGTAACTGGGAACTGACAATGCGTGAGCAGCCAAGCCTCTAACCTAAGTAGAAACATCACGTTAACGTTAAAGTAAAACAATCAGATGCTACTGGTTGGTAAAAAAGAAAGTTACACTTTCACCCTTCACAATCATCAAAATTAGATTTTAAAGATACATTAAAACAAAACAAAACCAAACCTCTCAAGTATCCAAGTGCCAAAATAAAGTCAAATTTTACATGTGCAGCTGGGTAGTACCTAAAAAACCAAAAAATGTACTGGTAAAAAGCACTTATGAAAAAAAATGCAACCGACTTAATAAGGGAAGCTATTTGTATGAGGGGAAAAAAAACCCCAGAGATTTAACAATAAGACACTTGATAAGCTTGGTATTTAATTTCAATCT